ATCACCATTTAATGAGTACGTCTAACTCTAAGAACTGGTACTAATTTCACAAACGTGCACCAAAATTAAAGTAATTCATTTTCGTTGACCAAAGTAGGTATTAATTGATAAAAAACAGGTACTGAATACAGATATTATTGGTACTATTTGTAGGAAAACAATGTATTATATTAACAAAAACTTCAAAAACAATATGAAACATCGAAACACTAAATACCAAATTCTACTCCATGCAGACCACCACAACCCCAGCAAACAACTGAAAAAATGGAAAAGAGTTGATACCAAAAAAATATCCATCAAACCATTTGCAACTAACCATCAATTACAAACACCAAAAAAACTTCATTCATTGACCACCTGATCACTCCCAAATTATTGTGCATTATTGCGCAAAGAAAATGGTGCCTTTTGACTTTGTACACTCATCGGCCACTCAACTGCTCAAAGAAAATGAAATGATTCCACCCCGTGCAGCACCCACCTGAACTTGGGCAGCAAATTTCGAGGCCGTTTGGTAAATCGATCGAACACCTGACGGGCTGCGCCTGGAGAAGTAAGAGGACGTGAGCTGGTTAAATTATTCCATCAATGTCTTTGAAGTTTCAATATATAGATATAGATATAGATTGTGGCAAAACATTTATCACTTGTCTTAAATAACTTAACAACCAAAAAGGAATTCTAGATCAACTCTATTCTGCTATTCAATACATGGGGTAACATATGAACGCACAATATGGGGCCGACTGGAAGGAATGTGAAGCTTCCACAGAGCACGAAAAGCGTAATAAGGAAAGAGTTTACAGTCGTGCCAAGTTAAGTGCCATTCGTTGACTCAATAGATCGAAACTGGATTTTAGAAAAAAAAGAAAAAAAGAAAAGAAAAAAGTCTCCAATTCCATGTCTCCAAGCTTACAGTTTGATATCCATCCATGTTTACTACCAAACCAATTTGTTTTGTGTTTCACACTGAACTCAATCAACAACAAAACATCTAACCAACCCCAAACAAATCACAACAACCATCAATAAAATAATACAAAGAATTCTAGCATTTCTAAATTCTGTTCACCCAAACATTGTAATTCTATCACAACATTCACCAATTCTAAAAACAAACAAGCTCAATCACTAAAAAATTCAGCTTTCCCCACCCCAGATCAACATCAATTCAGCAAAACATCATTTCCACCTAAAACAAACTTCAATTAAAAAAAACAACCAACAAAAATCCCAACAACTTTTTTTCCTCCTAAATATATATCTACAGACAAGCTCCATTAACAACTAATGAATAAGAGATACAAATAATAAATCAAGAACCTTTAACACAACCCTTACCTTAACATTTTCTGGCGAGCCTAACACAGTAGAGCCAGAACCTGGGCATTGGGGTCCACCTCGACGACCACATCGAAGAGGAGATCTGAACCAAATCCCTGAATCCGGTGATCCTACCCCGTTCCCTGGCCACAGCACCCACCTGAACTCGAGCGACGAATTTCGAGGCCGTTCGGGCAATCGATCGAACACCTGGCGGACTGCGCCTGGAGAAGTAAGAAAACGTTACGTGGTTGAGCCAGAGGACGCAGGGGATGCAACGGTGCCGTGATCGACGGCGAACCGGAGGAATTTGTCTGGTTTGAGCAAGCGAGTCCCGACGTACCCGAGTGTTTCGGCCCGTGAAAGGGTTTTGCCGTTGATTGAGAACGAGGGCGATGGGTCTGTGGGTTTTGCCGCACCCAAAGCAGAGCAAGTCCACAATTTCCCCCCCTTCGGACAACCCCCACTCTCCATCGAAAAGGAAAACCCATTTAGTCGCCTTCCATCGAACGCCATGGATATTTAGATCTACGGCGTCTTGTCGGATTTTTCGAGTTGGGGTTGATTTTTGGAGATGTGGGGTTTGGAGCGACAACCTTTTTTTTTTCCTTTTCTGGTGATTTTTTAGGAGGCGAGGCACATGAGAGATTTGATCGGAGCGACGACAGAGCGAAGAGAGAGATGAGGAGAGAGAGAGTGAATAAAGAGAGAATAGTATTACGGTAAAATAAATTCATTGATAATAGTATTAGTACTTATAGGGCAGTTGAGAGGAAAGATAAATAAGTATTAAGGAGTGCAGAAGAAAAAAATATATATTAGGGACTGACAAGGAAGTTCAAATATGGATTGGGGATTTTAAAGGAATTAACCGTCCGAATAAAATGGGATTTTTGGAGAAAAATGAGTGCTATTACAAAACTCGATATAGAAACTATATAGAAATGGTACTCAATGTTTTTCTTTCTTCTCAACTGCGCACTCTTTTACTTTATTTGCAACTTGTATAGGCAATTCTACCGACACAATATACATAAATTATTTATATCCACAACCCTTTTACTATTCCCATTCTTATAAATATTGAAATGTCACTATTTTTGCATAGCGGTTTATTCCACTTGTTTCTAACACTCATCTTGGAATTACCACTATGTAATGTGTGTTTATGCTGCCTCATTAAAAATCTTATTTGAAAAAACCATGTGGGAAAAAAAACCAAGATAAGGAAAAAGAGTACAACCGCACATGCTCCCCCTCGAGTTATCATCCGTGCAAATATCGAAGATGTCTCACTCAATGTTATGGACGTGCTTTCAGAAAGTTGTAGTTGGGAGTCCCTTTGTAAATAAAACTGTTATGTTATCACTTGATTGGATGTATTAAATCCTGATCGGTTGGTTCCTTTCAAGCTCTTGAGTGTACGAGAAGAACTTTGGTGGGATATGTTTAGTTCTGTCACTCTTAATGTATCCTTCTTTGGTTTGAGCGACGCATGCTGCATTGTCTTTAAATATCACCGTCGGATCTTTATTATTCGATAATCCACTGGCTTGTTGAATGTGTTGAGTCATGTTTCTGAGCCAGATGCTTTCCCTAGTTGCTTCATGCAGTGCAATGATTTCAGCATGGTTTGAAGATGTAGCAACTAGTGTTTGTTTCTGAGAACGCCAAGAAAATTAGTTCCACCAATAGTGAAAAGATAGTCAGTCTAAGATCTCGCCGTATGTGGGTCTGATAAATATCATGCATCTCCAAAACCCATGATTTCATTATTTTATCTTTTGAGTAAAATATTCCCAGGTCGATTATTCCTTGGAGATATCGAAATATATGCTTGATTCCATTCCAGCGTCTCCTCGTAGGTGACGAGTTATATCTTGATAATAAGTTGGTAGCAAAAGATATATCTGGTCTAGTGCAATTACCAAGATACATCAGAGCTCCTATTGCATATGGTACTCAGGACCAAATATTTCTTCATTTTATTCACAAGGTCGAAATGGATCATTTTCAACATGGGTAAATTGCACCAAACCCCCGGTATTATACTAAATCTGCGCGTTGTCCCCCTGTAATTTAAAAATTGCGTCAAACTCCCTTGTAATGTACTTTTGCATGCGCGAAACACCCTAAACCGTCTAAGATGACGGAAGTGAAGTGCACTCGCGTGCTATGCAGCTCCTTCTTCATTTTTTGGCCACATATATTCTTTTTACCACTATAATTATGCCCAGATGCGGCTCCTTCTTCATTATATGATTATATTATGTATATTAAATAATAATCATTACATATTATATAATATTATATATATTATTTATATTATATAATATATATAATAATTACATAATATATATTATATATAATAATATATTATATATGTTAAACATATACGTTATATAAATACATTATATATAAAATATATTATTTTATATATTATATTTTAAACATATACGTTATATAATACATATTATATAATATATTATATATTATATTATTATCTATAATATATTATTATATAATATATTATATATCTATAATATATTATATTATAATATATTATATAATATATATTAACCATTATTT